AAGACTGATAGGTTTCTAGTTGACTCAAAAGAGCTCACAGATCACTCCACAGGGGGGTCCGGGCAGGTGTTGGGGAGTTGCCGGGCGGCAGGGTGCCGGGCTCGTTTTTCACCAACAGTCACACACTTCGTGCTCTTCGACTTCCCAGAACTCCATTCCCAGGCCACATTCTGAATACCCGGATGCAACAGTCACACACAAAGTGCTCTTCGAGATCCCAGAACGCCATTCCCGGGCCACATTTAGAATAACCGGATGCAACAGTCACACACTTCGTGCTCTTCGACATCCCAGAACGCCATTCCCGGGCTACATTTTGGATGCCCGGATGCAACAGTCACACACTTCGTGCTCTTCGAGTTCCCAGAACTCCATTCCCGGGCCACAGTTGCCCGGAGCCAACTGTAGGCCAACTCCATTCCCGGGCCACATTTTGAATGCCCGGAGCCAACTGTAGGCCACTTCGTGCTCTTCGAGTTCCCAGAACTCCATTCCCGGGCCACATTTTGAATGCCCGTAGCCAACTGTAGGCAACTTCGTGCTCTTCGACTTCCCAGAACTCCCATTCCTGGGCCACATTTTCAGCAGGGGCAAGAGCACGACGAGGAGGAGGACGAGCAAGACCAGGAGGACGAGGACGAGCAGGAGCAGGACGAGGAGCAGGAGGAGCAGGAGAAGAAGGACGAGCAGGAGGAGGAGGAGGACGAGCAGGAGGAGGAGGACGACCAGGAGGAGGAGGACGACCAGGAGGAGAGGAGGAGGAGGAGGAGGAGGGGAGGGGGAGGAGTACCAGGAGGAGGAGGAGGAGGAGGAGGAGGAGGAGGAGGAGGAGGAAGAGGAGGAGGAGGAGGAGGAGGACGAGGACGAGGAGGAGGAGGAGGAGGGGGGGGGAGAGTACCAGGAGGAGGAGAACGAGGACCACCAGGAGGAGGAGGAGGAGGAGGAGGAGGAGGAGGAGGAGGAGGAGGAGGAGGAGAGAACACCAGGAGGAGGAGGACGAGCAAGACGAGGAGGACGAGAACGAGGACGACCAGGAAGAGGAGGAGGAGGAGGAGGAGGGGAGGGGGAGGACTACCAGGAGGAGGAGGAGGAGGAGGAGGAGGAGGAGGAGGAAGAGGAGGAGGAGGACGAGGAGGAGGAGGAGGAGGACGAGGAGGAGGAGGGGGGGGAGAGCACCAGGAGGAGGAGAACGAGGACCACCAGGAGGAGGAGGAGGAGGAGGAGGAGGAGGAGGAGGAGGAGAGAGCACCAGGAGGAGGAGGACGAGCAAGACGAGGAGGACGAGAACGAGGACGAGCAGGAGGAAGGAGGAGGAGGAGGAGGAGGAGGAGGAGCAGGAGAAAGAGGAGGAGGAGGAGGCAGGCTGAGGCTGAGGCTGTGACTGCGACTGCCGTTGCCGCTGCGACTGTCATCGCGAATGCGACTACGACTGCGAGAACAGCAGAATTCGACAACTGGATTTTCATCTGAATCTTAAGGGGAATGCTTTCAGATATGCTTCTACACATCGCTGTTAGGTTGCTTTGCCGGGATAATTCCTCTCAAAATCCTCGATCTGCAAGGGTTGGAAGCGGGAAAACGTGAGAAGGCGATAAACATTAGAAAAACCATGTGAAATCAACGATTTCACCCTCTTTGGGCTCTCGGGACGGCTCTCGCAGCTCTCTTGGGCTGTTCTTGGAGCCTCGTCGGGGTCTTTTCTCAGGGATCGGGGGTGTGTTGGGGGCCTCTGGGTGGTCCCGGAGGCCTCTCGGAAGTCTCTGGAAGCATCCTGCTCCCGCTCTTGGGCCCATCTTGGGCCTGGTCTGGGGCTGTCCTGGGCGCCTCTTCGGCAATCTTGGAGCCTTCTTGGCCCGTCTTGGGGCTGTCCTGAGGGTCTCTTGGGTGGTCTTGGGGCGGTCTTGCGAGCCTCTTCGGCGCTCTTGGACCGTTGGAAGCTCGAAAACGCGAGAAGCCCAACAAAAAACAACGGAAATCTACGATTTTGGCATCTTCGGGCCGTCCCGGGACGCCTCTTGGACCTCTCTTGGGGTCTCTTGGAGATCACCTGGGAGCCTCGAGAGCCGTCGGAAGGCTGACTTGGGCTGCTTGGGAGCGTCTTGGACCATCCTTTCGCATTCTGGGCGCTCCTGGGAGTCGTCTTGGGCCCTCCTGGAGTGCCGTGGAGGCTCTCCGGAACGCCCGGGGGAGCAGTACCGGAAGCGTCCCCGAGATGTGGCAGGGAGGTGTGACACCCAGGGCCGCGGGGGGGGGGGGGGGGGCGGGATTTCTCTATTATGTTTATATTCTTCTTCCTATATCTTTTTATAAGCCCGGGCGGGGGGAAAACCCATCCCCCCCCCCAAAACCAGACTCCCGGGATCTGGGGCTTTGGGACCCTCCAGACGGGCTTCGAAGCGGCCACGAGGCCTCACATGGCGTTTTGCCAAGCCTTCCCAGCACACCTAGGGCGATCAGGGGGGTCATCGGAGACGTCCCAGAGACCCCCAAGACAGCACAAGAGCGCTCCAAGAGTGACCGACGTGACCTTAAGATGGCCCAAGAGGCCTCCAGGACGGCCCCAAAGAGGCCTCCAAGAGCACTCCCAAGAAGGCCCCCCGAGGCAAAAATAATTGATTTTCTGTAGGTTTTTGGTGAATTTTAGGGTTCTCCCTTTTCGGCTTCCCGACGCTCCAAGACGGCGGTCTTCTGGGCGTCCGAAGCCGCCTGGAAGGCTCCCAAATCGCCCCACAACCATCCGAAAGGGCTCCCAGGCAGTCCAAGAGAACCCCAAAACGGCACAACACGGGTCCAAGATGCCCTCAGAGAGCCCCATGGCGGCCCAAGATGGTCCAAAGACGCCCTCAGAAGAATTCAAAATCGTGATTCGGTCGTTCAGGGAGACCGCAGTTGGAGGCAGGGTGGCCCGAGGAAGCCCCCAGAGGCCTCCAGAATACGCCCAGGAGGTCTCCAGAAGGCCTTAAGAAAGCCTGAAACAGCTTTTGTGAGGCCCCTAGAGGCTCTCCAAGGAGGAGCCTCCGCAAAAAAAAGAGCTGAGGAGGATGGGGAGAATGCGCAGGGCATGGCGAAAATAAGGAAAAATAAGCATGGAGGAAAGATAACGAATAACTTTAATATAGCGGCGATGCCGGAAAAAGCAACCAGGAGTTATCGCTAAATTGTCGGCTTGACCTTCCTGCCATTCCGCCTGCATACCAAACTTCAAGGACCAAGGTGCATGGCGCGAAGCGCCACTGCAGTCTTGTATATATATATATATATACAGATATAGAGCGGGCCATCCGACCCGACGCCAAGCAATCGACAACTGAAAGCTGTAGCCATCCAGACAGGCCTCCTTATCACCCGAACGGTTGTCTTTGCGGTATCTAGTGCTGTCGAACCCCCTATCACGAATGCATATATTTTTTCTCAGTCCAAACGTGTTTTTTGTCCAGGATGGCCTTGCGCGCCAAACTGCGCTGCTGGCCCCCAAGTACCACAACGGCTCCCGCCTGAGACTTCCATGTAATTCACGCGGGAAACGCGTTCTCGCGTGACACCCCAATCAGGATTGATGAATGAATCCCGTACTCGCCGCTCAGGAACCGTGCTCTCGCCTGTGACCCTCTCTCAACTTGCTAAGGAAACGCGCTCTCGCCACTGGGGAGGCACTCTCTGGCTTGAGACTTCCTCGTATTGCTCTCGCCAAATCGCCGGCTGCTCTGGGGCCCCCGATATGTGAAACTGTGGCTCTTCTCATGCCCCCCTGAGCCTTGAGCTCCTGCGGCAGACCCCCTCCCTCCTCCCTCCTGACCCCCTTCTTCACTCCCCCCTTCCCTTGCTGTATGTTGTTCCCATCGTACTGAAGGACCGCATCCCAAAAATGACTTCGAGCACCCTGAGAAGTATCGTAACGACGCGCTGGCGAGATGCCGAACGAGCATCGCCTCCCGAGGCCCGACACGTGAAAACCCTGCAAGTTCGACACTTTCTCTTGGTGTTCGGAATCCTTTCTGGTGACCACGGCTGAAGCAGGCTGGACAATCATACTGTAACCTCCTGCCACCTCATCCCTGCACGCCTTCCCGAACACGGCTCCGCCCGATCCGACCTTCCGGCCCGACCCGGCCGCCCGAGCGAGGGCCGAGTCTGCCCGAGAGCTGGGCGAGGCAGCGGACCTCTGCAGACGAGCCCATATCCCACACATGGGCGGCGCGCGGAGGGCCGCGTGAGGGGAGGGGGGAGGGCTTCTTAGAAGGGGGCCGCTTCTTAAGAAGGCGCCGGCCTTACATCTACAGATAAGGCCCGCGGCTTCTGAGAAGCAGGGGTGCTTCTAAGGAGCCCCCCCCCTCCTGCTACCCCCCTTTGCGCGTGGTCGCCCATATCCCATAAAGTCGGACCTGGGCCAAAACAACATCCCTCGGGAACATGAAACCCTCCGCCAGCCAGAACACACAGAACATCCAAGGGTACCTCCCCAGGGTGCATGGCTAACAGCCAAGGGGCACGAAAAACATTAGGGTAATTACCCTCCCCACACCGACCTCGATCTTACACCTCGGTCCGACTGTATCCCATACCCTGGGGAGAAAGAAGAGGCTGATGGGGCCCGTGAAGATAGGCGGCGCGCCGGGGGGGAAGTGCGAGGGGGCAAACCTTCTTGAAGGCGGCGCGGCTTCTCATGATCCCCCGGGATTTTCCGAGAAGCCGTCTACGGCTTCGGAAAAAAAGGCTTAAATAATTTCTTCGAACGCCAGAAGCCTTTTGAGCCTTTCTGACAAGGCCCGCCCCCTCTGCCTTCCCCCTTCGGCGCGCCGCCGAGAGGAAAGGCAGGGCAGGTCAACAGATAATCGGAACTCCGATCGAATCGGAACGTGCGTCGGATCGGGCCGCATCGGCACGGGGACGAAATCGAATCGGATCGGCTGCGCCAGATCCTGGAGGGATGATTCGTCCTCCTCCTCCTCCTCCTCCTCCTTCGTGCTGGTTGCGCGCGGCCGGGGCAGTGGTGCCAAGGCCTGTGCCATCGACAGCTCGCTGGAGCAGTCCGAGTCCTCGGAGTTCATCGAGAACTCCTCGACGAACGGCCAGCCGCCCTCCTGCGAGAGCGGGCGAAGGGTGGGTGATCGACTTGTGAAACAGCGTCTGCTCTAAGAATGACATAAACATAACAACTCGGAGGTCCGCGCGGATTTCTCGGATCCGCGCTGGGGCCCCCCTGCGGCGCCTCTGGCGCCGCCCCTGGCGCGCTCCGCGCGCCAAGAGGGGGGGGGGTCCAGCGCCGATCCGAGAAATCCGCGCGGACCTCCGAGTTTTTATGTTTATGTCACTTTTTGTTCCCCAAAAACAGCGTCTGCTCTGCCCGTCCCCAACGAAGGGCCACTTCGATCGATTTTGAGAACCTTGAACCGGAAAACGCTTCTCTCCGTCCCTTGGGGGCGCATCTTTTGCTCCCGCCAGCTCCCGCCCGCCTTCCGCCGCCTCCTGCCGGCGGAGGCGGCCTCGCTTTGCTTCCGCCGACCTCCCGCCGCCCTCCGCCGAGGAGGAGCTGCCGACCCTCTCGGCCCCCGCGGGCGAGGCCCTCCCTGGAACGCCCCGCGCGCCGCCGAGTCTCTCGGAGGGTAAGTACCTCTTCTGCTTCCGCCCGCGGGGCCGCCCTCGTCTTTGCTTGCGCTGGCGGAGCGGCCCGCCCCCCCCCCCGGGGGGGCGAGGCACATCCGCCCCTCCGGGCCCCGAAGGCGCAGACCTCTCCCTGCCGCGACCGGCTTGTGTCGCGCGGTGCCGGCCCGAGCCATCGCTGCCGCGTGGACCTCCAGGGGGGTCCCGACCCTGCCTCGGCAGGCCACGGGCATCAGCAAGTGGGGGCGAGGCCAATCCTGAGTACCAGTCCCAGCTGGTCGCGCAGCAAATTTTCGGTACAACTCCAGAGAGGAGAACGTGCTTGCAGCTACCCCTCCATGCACTTGCTATCCTCTAGGGCAGTTGCCGAGGGAATGGGGTGAGATCAGACGAGAAACGGGCGGAAGACGTCCAGGCCGTCAACCGGGACGATACAAACCAAAAAACTGGGAGTCCTCATCCTCCTCCTCCGAGGCCCCCCCCCCCCCGACGGGCCCCGCCTGTCCCCTCAAGGGGGAGGTCGCGGGCCTGCTGGACCCAGTGCTCGAGTGAGCCCAGTACTCGACGGGGCCCGGGGGAGCAGGGCAGAACCGAGGGGGGCGCGAGATGGCCGGGAGGGGCATTGCTGCCAGGCGGCCCTGGGCCTCCGTCTTTTGCCTCTGACAGCCTGCGCGCCCATGTGCTGCGCGCGGGCTCGAGGCCCCCTGCCCGCGGGCGCAGAGTGGCTGCCAGGGAGGGGGATAATGCAAATTTTTGTTTTTTCCCCATCTAGGCTCTGCCTAGAAGGGTTCTTACTCTCTGGGCTTAAAGGGGCCGGGCAGTGGAAAGCGCCCCGGGCGGTTCCCCCAGTATCCGCCCCGCGGTTCCCCCAGTTACGTCCCCTTAGCTTAGCGTTGCTTATCTCATGTTAGCTTAGCTCATTTCATCTTAGCTTAACTTAGCTTCATCTTAGCTCAGGTTTATCTTAGCTTAGCTTACCTTCATCTTAGCTTCGCTGAACTTTAGCATAGCAGAGCAGAGCACAGCATAGCATAGCGCAGCATATCATAGCATAGCCCAGTATAGCATAGCATAGCGCAGCATAGCATAGCATAGCATAGCATAGCGCAGCACAGCATATCACAGCGCAGCACAGCACAGCACAGCAGCAAAGCAAAGGCAAAGCAACAGCAGCGACAGCAAAGCAAAGCACAAGCAACGCAAAGCAAAGCAAAGCAAAGCAAAAACAAAAACAAAGCAAAGGAAAGACAAAGCAAAAACAATGTGCGACAGATGCCGAGCTAGCCTCGATGGCCGGACCGGAGCCCCCGCAAGCAGTGCCTTCCGTAACAATTTCGGCTCAAGTCCGGAGGCCCTGCCACACAGCCGCCCACGCTCATGTCCCGAGGTTGGCGGAGTGATTTGTACACTGAACGCGGTTTGGGTTGCAAGTTCTCCACCTGGAACGAATGCAAAAGAAACCCGCCGCAGGCGCCGAAGTTTTGGCTTGTTCAGTGAATGTAGTTTGGGTCGCGGGTGGGTCGCGGGTTCTCCACCTCCACCTGGAAGGAATTCAAAAACAGCCCGCCGCAGGCGCCGAAAATTCCCTACCTAGGCTCTGCCTAGAAGGGTTCTTACTTTTCTTGGCTTAAAGGGGCCGGGCAGTGCACCCCGCCCCGGGCGGTTCCCCCGGTCCCCTGGGAGCCAAGCAAAAGCAACGGCAAAGGTAAAAGCAAACGCGCGGTTCCCCCAGTTGCGCTCCCTGGGTGCCAAGCAAAAGCAAAAGCAAAGGCAAAAGTGGAGGCAAAAGCGAAGGCAAAGCAAAAGCATAGCATAGCATAGCATAGCATAGCATAGCATAGCATAGCGCAGCATAGCATAGCGCAGCATAGCATAGCATAGCATAGCATAGCATAGCAT